TATTAAATATCCTATGGATAACGTTTAATACTTCTAGCATAATTATTGAGGAATAAAATGAAAGGACTTTTAAAACGGACAAGAATAAATACATTGTTTAAAGATAGGTAATATACTATAATATGATAACAAATGTTAGTATATATAGTAGAACACGATCTAAATATAGATATTCGAGCTAGCTCTTGGATATAAACACGAAAAGTACAAATATTATGCACTCCAAAATAAATGCAAGAGATAAAAGGCCTTTTCGAAATCTTTGTGTCTACCACCACTATCTGAATGTTTCTATGCATCCGGCTGGCAACGGATAACAGGCATATAGTATACTATAATTCTGCTGACATCCAAATAACGCAACTGACAATAATTTACAATATATGTACATATACGATTATTGAATCAGCTGCGGATAAGGTTGGAATTGCAACCAATGCATAATATCTCGCATAAAATCAAGGTTAATGAAACGAAATGAAATGCAAAATATTTACACTAAGCAGGTGTTAACACAGTCAGCCTGTGCTCCGTTATTAACTTTTTTCCATTAGCCCAGCTCAAACTACAGTTGATATTCTGTGCCGTAATTGTTGTCAACCCGGGGAAACCAAGCACGTCAATGAAATTATGTATTTGCGCAAATTACCGCCATCAGACGGGCAAACCCGGCCAGACAATTGACTGTTTGATGTCCGTGCGTATGTCTGAGTGTACAGAGCGCTATTTGCTAGTGTATGTATGTATGTATGTATGCATGTATATGGCACACTCGTATCGCTAAAATTGATTTTCATGTACGAGTATGTACATGAATGCAATGCCTTTTTATTTTGTTTTGTTTTTAGTGATATTTTTACCCCCCTACTTGTATTTCCGTAGGAAATTGTGGGCGTATTTCTGTTGTCGTTCGTCGTGTTGTGTGAGTGCAGCGCGCGAATTGCGTTTGATTTAATAAATTTGATTAAGATTCACGACCATGGGGGTTTTAATTTCAGCCAAAGACAGTCTAATAATTAATAATTGCCAAAATTCATAAAGCGCTCTTTCCAAAACCACACTTCAAAGGCGTATCTGTGGAATTTCGTCATGTGATCATCGATCACAACCAATGGATGTAAACAACTTAATTGTTATGAAAGTGACTAAAAATGTATAAAAATACATATTATAAAAACAAAGGGATCACTTTCTTTAAAATACTCATATCTAAAACCATTTTACAGAAACTGATTAACGTGTGCTATATTTTATAGAATATGCTTTATCCGAAGACATTTAAAATTGAAGGATAACCTAAGAAATGTGCTTCGTCTGATTATTCGAAATGTCCAAACAAATTGTAATATGATTGCAATTATTTCAATAGATTCAATAGATACATATATGAATGTACATATTGTACATATCTTCAGTAACCGTTCAACCGTTTCCAATGAATACACAAAATATGATGGATATATAGAAATTGATATATTTTGTAATATTCATTTCATTCGAAAAGCTCTTATGCATAATTGAAAATTTACAGTGAACTAGTGCCTTTTTTTATAGATATAACAAGTAATGGCCAGACTTGTGAAGAACCTTTTGCTTTTGTCCGTCATGCAATTAAATGAAAGTTTTTCCATTGTCATGGTAATGGCATAATTGACGTACATATCTATTTTATGACTCAATGGAATTTTCATTTTTCAATTGCAAACGAAAGTTTGGGGCGTAATAACAACCATAAATAATGTATGACTTAAATTCTAACAGGCGGTATTTTGAAAAAACAAATAAAACAAGGCACGATTGAACAGACAACTATTGATTTTCGGGCCCATTCCCACCGATACTGGATGTGGAACCCTGGGGGTTAGGGTTGGATTATAGTTCGTGCTGCACATAAATTTAAGTCAAATCTTAGATAAAGAGCACAAGTCGTGGCAAAGTTGAACGAACTGCTGGCGGCGTGTGCTTTAAAATGTCAAGAGCTTGCGACGTGCATTATTGATGGAAAACCTCAAATCAAAAGTTAAATAGCAGGTGACGCAGCTTGCGGGGCTCGTTTGCGTTTAGTCTCGTCTCGTTGTTGTACGAGTTTGTGCCTACAGTTGAATTCGCATGACGGCGGTGATGATTCAGAGCATAAATAAATCGTGGCAGTTGCTGTCGCGGCACGTACACAAATCAAATACACATTGATAGACTCAACACGATTCGACGCCAACTTATTGAATTCGTCTATAACTTGTCGACGTCGCTCACTGAGAACGTCCGTCCATATCTAGTTATCTATCCACCTATACAAGTATGCTTTCCATATTTGTCAACCGGCATGCGAAGTGCATGCTGCAGATTTTTATGGCGCACTGTGGTAGCAATCTCCATTCAAAATACTCAAAAACTAATTCCCTGGTCTACCAATTGAAAATACACCTAACGATATCTTTTGGAATAGCATGCAATTTTTTGTCAATTAAATTTATCAAAAGAATGAGTTTCGCTTTTATTATAATTGTGATATCAAAATCAATTTTGTTCATATTCTTGCGAAACTAACTGGCTGCTAGAAGAACATAAATGTGAGTTTCACATTTTATTTGTTTTAAATGCTGTAGATTTCTTGATTAAATAAATATCATTATAGTAAGCATAATACACTGTTGTATCATTTTCTTGACATTTAATAGTGGTTCGGGGAGTTAAGAGTCCAACAATAGACTACAAGTATATTAGTAGGCAGTTAATGCAGCAATTTTAAAAAATTACTTAAAACTTCTCCAAAAATGTTTATTATTTATTCTTATTATTTTCTTGACTCAAAGCATCCAAACCATCCCGAATCTGCACTACTGTGCGACGGGCCTTTCAATATATTGTAATTGCTATATTTTTGCAGTTGATTGCGTCGGGCTTAGCTCATAAGCTGCACGAATTTTGAAAGCACAGCCGATTCGACGGATCTAATTGAACTTTTGCAAAAGGTGGTTTGTTCAATTTGTTGGCTACAACTTTTGGATGAATGATCGGTCGCAGTAATAGTCAAAGCCACAGAGACCACGTCCCGGCAGCACACATAATTTGTCTATTTGCAGTCATTGGTATTAAGATAAAAGTTGCATTGGCTGAATGTATGGAATGGCGCACGATTAGCTAGCGGTCATATGTTAATGGTCAGTACTCGCATAATTGAATGCAATTTAAATTTAGCAAACGTTTTGGCAAAGAAAACTATGACAGCACCAATTGAAATAAGCTACTTAATTGGGTCGTTGTTGCTTATCCGCATGTGTGCGCTCGCTCGACGATAAGATAACTTGTTTGATAGGAATTGATTTTAGCCATGTTATGAGCTGAATTGCTTTTGACATTCGGGCAAAGTTCAAGCGAACTCAGAGTTGTAAATTGACAAATTAATGTCATGAATCGTGCCAAATTATGTGAGACATTTATTGAGGTACGTAAGGAATTCAGAAAATTGAACGCATAAACGTTTTAAAAATAATTTATATTGCATGAAATCGTACATAAAGATCATTACTTCGAGTGTTTATTAAAATTTTAAGTGTAATGAAATCTAAGCATTTGGTAATTTGAAGACCCCGAGAGATCATATAGTATGTCTGCCAGTTATTTCGCCAAAATGCTGTTTTGAAAACATTATATTACTATTATAAGTCAATGTCTTGCTTTAGAGCTGTGAAGTATCTGCCAGCTTTTCCGCCAAAATGCTGTCATTATCAATATCTAATCTGCACTAAAGTATCAATTTCTGTTCACATATCCACAAAAGTCTTTTTTAAAAACCACCTTTTAAATTGTTAATTACATGAATCATAAACATATTATGTTTTTAGGCCAACAAAGGTCGATTTTCGACAACTACGAGTACTTAAAAACAAAATGTACATGAGTCATACAAACAGCCCAAGACAGCAATCAACATAAACAAATATTGGCCCAACAGAATTCCAAGATTTTTTTTGTAAAATGTTGAAATAGCTTTTAGAAACTTATAAACAAAAGCTTGTTGGAGTAGTTCATAAAAATTTAAAAGCTAATATTAACCAACTATTCACACACCCACACACATGCATATGCAAAGCATTAATAAATTATTAATATGCAAACTTTGCGCACAATTTGAGGCAACTGTAAGACAAACAGCCCGAACCTAATCCCAAAGCAAACTAATAATGTACGGCAAGAGTTTTGCTTTACCTTTGCCATCGACCGACGACGGCATCGTCGCATTCATTCCCACATTATCATCACATACGAAAATTCCAAAAAATTGTGCAAGGTTGGAACAAATTTGTCTATCTAATCAGAAGAAGAACAAAGCAAAAAAAATATCACTATAAATCCAAAACATAAAATACCCATTGATTTGGTTTTTGTAGCCGTATGCATTGTACATGTCTATAAAATGAAACTGACTCATAAGAATTGCAAGAAAGAATATCATTTAAGCTTTCGCAATCAGCTAATGAAATTGAGTCATAGGCTTGCCGGGCTGGCTAATATATAAATCATCCCCACAGGGTCAAGGACTATTCAAACTTCTCATTAAATGTGTTTTTTCTTCTTGTAATTCGTTTCGTTTTATGCATTTTATTTGAAATTATATTGTGACTCTTGTTATTATTTTCTATTGGTTTAAGTTGTTATTTCTTATTATTTCTGATTTTTCGTTCTATTCTGAATTATTTTTCTAAGATCTACTAACGTTTCTTGGAGCATAGCTGGTCGGAGAGCAAAAATTCTCTTGGAGAATTGGAGATGGTTATTAAATATTGCTGTAATTTATTAGACCTTTTCTCTCTTTCGACTTAAAAGCTCTCCATATAATGTTTTTTCTTAGATCGACAGACTTGTCCGTCTCCACAGAAATAAGTTAAAGAAAAAGAAGCAAATCGAGAGTAAACTTTCGGACTCTGCAAGGAGTTGCCATAGGCAGAGTAGGAGAGAACTTGGAGTGTGCTGTGAGTGTATTCGGGCAACACGCTTACCTGTCATCTGATTTGAATGTATGTGTGTTTATTTTGTTCTTTGCTGCTGCCTTTCGCTTAATCCGTTTTGTGCCCTTCCTTCTGACTGTTGTCGCTGCTGCAATTTGTTTTTTTTTTTGTTAGTCGTTTTTTTTGTGTTCTGGCCTTGCACTGGCGTCTCTTTTTTTATGATTACTACTGCACACACGCGTTTTGTTTTGCTTGGCTCGTTCGTTTGCGTTTGCGTTTTCACTTTCACAGGTAAATTCTACGTAAGGGAAATATGTGTTGCTATCTTTTTTAAGATACTGTACGGCTGTCGCAGCGTAAATTATTTATTTTGGACTTTTTAAATAGCGACGGTTCGCAACGATTTGTTCTATACATACATGTACCTCGTATACATGTACGCATGTATATATATGTACGTATGGATGTATGTATGCTACTTGGCCTTTACAGAGTCGCAAAAATTTCTGCCGTCAAGACAATGTGGCGACTACCTTGCGCTGCGAGCGTTAAAAATCAACTGAATTGACGTTGCCTGCCTGGCTGGCTGGCCGCTGCGACCAGAGCGCGTGATGCGATACCGTTAGTGAGCGTGCGCAAGTGTGTGGGGGAGTAGCATAAACGCCGTCATTTTTGTTGTTGTTACTGTTGAGCTGAGTGAGTGCTCACTGTGCGTTGCCCATGGGAAACATGTCTATGTGACAGGCAGTGGCCCCCTCCCCTCCCCTCCCAGAAACTAAACAAAACACAAATATGTGTGCCCATGAAATTACACACTCGACTTACCAGAGATCTATAAAAAAAATGAAGTGATATGTTGTGTTCAAAGCTTTTAAAAAGAGTAACACATACTACATCTATGTATGTATGTACATATGTATATTTTATAACGGCAGAACGAAATGTTTGCCCCTCTAAATAAATATTGACTACGCTCTTGTTGCCATGTCACGTATATGTATCTATACATGTATATGTGTTTATTTTTATTTTTTTGATAAATACACATATGTGTTAATTTGCCGGCTGATTTCTTTATAATGCCGCATTTGATTGGTTTTAATACGAATAAAACACACACACACGCTTAACAACAACAAAAGCAGCACAGCACTGCATTGCACAATCAGCGTGGGTGCTGGTGTTCTTATTGGAGTGGAGCTCGCGTATTTGTTAGATGGGAACGAGAGAGATCAGCTGCTTTGCTCCTGTTGCAGGACCTTTGAGTATAAAATTGAGTATGTTTGCAAACAATACTGAAAATGCTCTTCAAATATTCGTAAGAGCCCTTCTACAAAATGCAACAGACACCGCAACTATTAACACATCAGAAATTCCCACACAACCACACGGGCTGAACTCACAAACTTTTCTCTCGCATGTGCTCTCTCACTCAACACTGTTGCTGTTGTTAAAGAAGCAAGAACACTTCTCGCCAACAATAAAAAATTGTTAAATTTTTTTTGTTTAAATGTTTAATAACAAATACAAAGCGTGCTAACTAAGCGTTTTAGCGCGTTTTTATAGTTTGATAAGCACCCAAATGTTATTGACGTGATATCATATACATACATACAAACATACGTATGCATGCATGTGTGTAGGCATGAAACTTCAATATGCAACATTGCACTTTTTTGGCGAAATGGAAATGGTTTCTGGTTTGTAGTGGTGTTGGTGCAGCCAGGCCTCCTCTGTTGGACCTCTCTCACTCTCTCTCTCTCACACACACACGCAGCCACGCACTTGTGACACAGACGCGCATTAGAAAAGCAACATTTGGCCTAATTTTACAATAATGATATTAATATCGATTTTGCGCTATTTATGTTATTGCTGACTCCTCTTTAGCGGCACCGGATGTGTTGTTCTATAAGATCTCTTTCATAAATAAAGTTATTTAAAGCACTTTTTCAAAATTATGCCGCGAAGATATTGTATTGGTATGTGTGAGTTTTAACAAATGCCAACACTATTAACACATTCTGATACACCAATGCTTACATTCTGGATGCGGTGAGCTTGTTTTAACTAATGACGCGTGCGCTATTCACTGCTATTTTGTTTAAACAATTTGCGTGCTGCTGCTGTTCACTTGTGAGCATTAAGTTGGACTGGCCACTCGAGTCTTGTGTTCCAAAACATAATAGGGCTAACCACTTGCCGCCAGTGTTGCCTCAGCTGTAACAATATTTAACAAATACTGCTCTTTATAAAATACTGTAAATGTGCTGCCAGATTGATTTATTAAAAATAAGTATATAATTCAAAAACAAGTGAAATTCAACGACTATAAAATAAATGTTAAAAGACGCTATTAGGCGCTTGTATTGTTAAAAACCTAACGGGTTTGGAGTTAAAAAAATAAAACATGTGTTTTTTTGTGCCTGTCAAACAAAAGGATACAGAAAATAATAAAAAAATGTAATAAAGTTATTAAATATAAATTATTCAATACAAAAACAATTTCAATAGAATAAATTTATCCTGATCAAGAATATATGTATATACTTTGTGGGGTCTGCCACGCCTTCTTCTCCCTGTTTCATACATTCGCACAAAACTAGTATAACCTTTCACCGTTTGGGTACAGGGTATAAAAATTTGTTTACCAAATATTAAAATTGATTCTCTACATATAAATAAAGAAATGTTGACAATGTGTCACAAATTGCTTAAATTCCTCGTTGTTTTTCAAAACAGTTCTGATGTTTCCAGCAATATAACTCAACTTTAAAATAAAACACTCAAAGCCTCCAATATTTAAAAATTATTTAATCTTTGTTCGTACGAGTTAACAACTACCTGTCTGTCCTGTATAGTCTTAATCTCTTAGCTTTTTACATGCAGCATATAATGGTATACAAAAATAAATGTGGAAGCATTAATCTCACTTAGTTTCTTCATAGGATATACTTAGTTATCTAAAATCGAGTTACACATTTCGTTGTTCTTCTGGTTGAGGGCAAAGGTGCGCCCAGCAGATTTAAATGCTTGCGTAGAACGCAAATTTTTGGTGTAGGCTCTCTCAACGTTCTGCAGATAGACGGACTTAGAGTTGGCATATCTGCAAGCATTATTAATGGTGGTTAATAGGATGTAGATATGGCTAGAGAGAGGGTTATGCTCACGTCAATAGCTGCTCCGGGCACTGCAATTGCATGCAGAGCTTAATGCTGCTGTAGAAGTCCAGATCGGCCTGTAGACTGAGTTTGGGCTCGTGGGTGAGCGTGAAATCCTGGACGAGCTTGGCGTATGTAAAGCCCACAGCTATGTGCCCCCAAACAGCGCTGCCAGTGCTGCAAGTAAAGTTGATGGTTAAGAGATCTTTTTCATCAATTCATACTCAATCTACACTCACTTCTGTTGTATCTCCGTTTGTGCATTGCGATTCCACAGACTGAAGCCGACTTTGCCATTTAAATCTACACTCCGAGCGCCCAGTAGTCGCCAATGCAGCGATGCGCCCGACGCCAGTATGATGTATTGCTCATGATCCTGCACCAGAGTGGTGGCCTGATAGGCAGGTGTTGAGTCGGACGCGCTGCCGCCCCACACATGGCCCATCAGCTCGGCCTGGCCATTGAAAAAGATGAGCGGACGCAGCTGGGCGCCCTGTACGCTAATCTCCATGCCTGCCGTTACAGTTTCCTCACCGCCCAGCTCGTCGTCGGCGGGTATATCATCGTTCTGGTCCGCATCGCCATCGCCCACGAGTGCACCCAAGGCGGCAGTATAGATGCCCAGTTTGAAGCTGCTGCTCTCGGCACGGCCCGCATGTAGAAGGAACTCGACAGAGCCGCGCTTCAGAATGCCTTGATAGACCTCCTGGGTGCTCAGGAAACTCTCATTAAAGGCCGGCGACTGGGAGAGCTGGCGTGTCAGCACTGTTGTCAGACCTGCAAGCGACATGGAATTTAGTTTCCTCATTCAAACCCACACATGTTTCATAATTTTTGAAAATTCCTTATTCTCACCTTTCTGTCCCAACACATGGTAGTTGTTGACCTTCGCACGTGTCGATAGTGCAGACTGGTAGAGGGCGCGGAAGCGAGGACACTGCTCGGCTAACATGCGTAACTTTTGTAGCACATAAGTCTTGATTTCGAACTGACGATCGTTGGAAGCGAGATAGTCCAAGAGTTCGCCCAGCTGTGAGGGATTGGGTCGCATGGCCAGTAGGATATCGAGGGCCAGGGTGCGTGCGGAGCTATCAAAGCGACGTCGTTGCTGATAGAAAATGGCAGAGAACTGCTGGCGATGCTTCTCACTGTAAGTGCGTGCTGGAAAGGCCTTCAAGGCCTGCAGCGCGGCCACCGATACTTTGGCCTCCAGCGACTGTGATTGCTCCAACAGCACATCAATGGTTTCCACATCCTGCAGGTTTTGCAGAGCGCGTATGTAGAGGGTTTGGCAGTCGCTTTGCTCCACTCTGCCGCCACATTCGCCACTCGACAGCCCATTTAGTATGTGAGTCCGCACCTTCTGAAGCAGCGCATCATTGGGTTCGAAACCACTCTGTCGGGTCAACGTGGCCAGCGTCTGAAGAATGCTATCACGCAGCTTCAGTTGCTTGGAGCTCAGCTCCGAGTTTAACAAAGCGTAGAGATGCTCGATAATTGGACGTTCTGGGTGGGTGGCGACGGCCAGAGATTGCAGATACCTTTCCAGCAGATCCAAAGACTCCGTATTGGTGCCTGCACCATCATAGAAATGCGCAAAGGTGGCATTGTGCGCCTCGAAGCTCTGCACGGCCCCAAGTAGATCCACCAATTGTGGCAGAATGTCTTCATGATGCTTGAGCAGCTCTTTAAATTCCTTCTGCTTGGCCAGACGCGCGTATGGAAGCAGTTGGACAAAGCTCAGTGCGAGCGAGGATTTGCCAACGTCCGTTGATTGGAGTTGCTTCGTCGCCTTTTTCAAGCGATCTGTGAACTGCAAGGGAAGTTTTCATTACTCTGTACGCTTCTTTACCCTCATCCGTTACTCACAGTTTGCTGCTTCAGCTCACTTATCACACCATCCACATCGGCCTCCAACTCAAAGACTCGATACCAGTCCAACAGACTTTCAATGGCCGCCTCCAGCGTACTTTGTTCGAACTGCTTGACCTCATCCCCTCCCTCGCCAAAGTTTTGCAACGTGAGCGTGGCTTGCACCGAGCTGCCCACATCGGGCTTGGCTGACAACGAGAGCAAATGCGTCTCCAAGGACTCGGCACGCAGCAGGACTCCATCTGCCGACAGCTCGTAGTTGATCTGCTCCTGCGATTGCTGCACAACGCCCAGTGCGTGCTCTGAGCGATAGTTCACACGCAAATCCCAGTTGGCGCAGTCGGTCTTCAGCTTTTCCAAACGCGTCGACGATTTGACATTGTATTGGACCCGGCAGCGACCAGAGACGTCCACTTCGTGCTGCACCAGTGTCGCATCGACGTAACGAAGCTGCAGCAACGAGGCAATGCCGCGCTCCAAGTTCAGCAGCGACTGATCCCGGGAGGTGTGCGCTATGACATGCTGCGGCTGTCCCTTCACCACACTTATGTAAAAGGGCCTGGCGGACAGGCTGGACACAGTACGGTCCACCGGACGATCCTCTGCCTTGCCAGGCGCACTCACTTGACTCTCAACAAAGGCGACTTTCAGCAACTGGGCATATTGGTCGGCACTGCTCCAAACCGAGCTGATCCGCAACTGGGTCTGAAGGCTATAGCTCGTCGATTCATCGACTATCTGCTGATGCTTCAGCTCCCGAAGACTCACTTTGCTGCGCAGCTCGTAGATTTGTTCGCTGCCAGTAGGAATGAGAAATGTGTTTGTTGCTGCTGTTGTTGTTGCTGTGGGTGTTCAATAAACGGTACACGTCATTAATAAGCCGAGCAAACTTTCACCAAATCAAAGCCTAAATCTAAACAAGTCGCTAAGGTTATCAACAAATAACAAAAGCAATAACAAAGATTGGCGCTAATATTTGAAGAAGAAAAAGAAAGAACAGCTGAGCGTCTCCACATTTCTTAACGGTGTCAACAACAATGTTAGTTAAAGCACGCCTGTGTGTGTGTGTGTGCATTTGCTGCTCTCTTTGCGGGAGCGGCAATGTCAATGCTGTTACGCGTGTGTGTTTGTGTGCGGCACGGTGTTGTCAGCTGTTGAATGTCGAAAAGGCTAGATTACACTTTAAATGTAAAATAAACCCTGTAGCGTGAAGAGTACTTCAATTATTAGTTTGTTCCTTTTACACATTTCTGTTCAATGCCTAGATGCGGAAACAAAATTTGTGTGAAAATTACTAAGCACCCCAAAGGTTAGTTTTCTTTCGACAAACCTATCATTTTGTTCTTGTATTACACTATTCTATTTGAAATCAATTTCTTCGTTAATTATAAACTGCATGATATAGCGCGCTGACTTCTCTGGGTTACAAATTTCTTTTCCTCATAAGAATGAGGCTTACAACTGCAAATAACACGATGACAAAAAAACACTGTAGGCTAAAAACACCGTTGGTTATATTTAATTAATTTTAATTCATAAATGATGCGTAATACATATAACTTTATTTTTTGTTCTAGCGTCCCTTTCTTAGCCACCCGAAACGAAAAAAGACAATTTTACAATATGTTGGCTAGAAAGTGGCTAAATGGACAACACTGGTGCCGCATTACAACAAGTCGCAGTTCATTCAACTCTCTTTTCGTTCTTTGCTGCCGCTTTCGCCGCTGCCCTTTAAACATACATATGTATGTACAAATTTTGCTTGCTTTTGATTTGCTAATGGTTTATTGAAGCTAGCATTTATTTTATTAACTATCCTGCAAATTACTTACACAAACACCACCGGCTAAAGAGCGCAAATAGCAACAACAGTTGCCGGCACTTCATTTTGTTCTAAAATTACACTACACTTTCTGCTTATATACTAAAGCTTATAATTAGACACGACTTCAATTCATTGATAAGACAACAGCGACAATCTCAAACGAGTGAACAATAATCCGCGACGTGCTTTTTCTTCTGCGGCAACAATAATAATAAATCCAACGCTAAGACCAGCTTCTGATAGCACCAAAATACCAAAGCATTGCTGAAAACATTTGCATTGTGGCAACACTGCACAGTGACAAGAGCGCCATCTTTGGTTAGCAATTCGAAAGTGTGTTCCAGTTCCAGCGAGCAGTTTTATTTTATTCTGATATTTCACTTGCTTTTGATTTCTGTTACTCTTTCAAAGAGTCTCTTTGACTGCAGCTTCTTTAATTAAAAAAAATTATTTCTATTAATTGTTTGTTGAAATTGAAAAGTTAATAATTTATGAAAACTTTTCTTATTTTATATATGTATTTATTTTTTTTTAGCTGAAGCGAATTTGTTTATTTTTTTAATAATTTATTTTTTCTTTCACAAGTAATCAGAAAAATTTTGCAAAACATGTAAAATTTAAAATTCCTCAAATCGTTGTTTTAAATTTAATTAAAAATTTGGGTTTCTTCGCATAGCAACATTCCCGTGAGTACGGTTTCCATTTGAAAACGATCAGTTTAAAGATATCTATTTATCATGAACATTTCAGATATCAACCATAAAACAAGGTAAAACCGTGCTACGACCGAAAAATTTGAATAAAAAAAAAAATTATCTCTGAGTTAGTTTACTTGTGGAAAGAGTTTGGTTTTATATTCCAAGAAAGTCCCATTTAAGGCAATGACATTTAATCATCTGAATCACCCTAAATTGTAACAAGAGTCATTGCTAAATTAAAAACAAGTAGTGAAGCTAAAGGCGCGTCTCCCGACTTTGAAATGCTCTATATGTTTAGAATAATTATAGAAATTAAAAAAATTGAGAAAATTAAAAAAAAATATTTGATCGATTTTACCTCTCTAGGTATTCGAACTCACGTAAAGGGTGTATAATTGCACATTTGCATAGCAATTGCGTCTGTGTGAGTGTAAGCATGTCTATGCTTGTCTATTCGTGTCTGTGTGGGTATGTTCGCAGTTAACCAAAGAACGAGCATCAACATCAGATGCGGGCAGCGCTTGTGCACACGGACACATAATTCCCAAGTCCAAGAATTACACATTTTCTGCGTATTCACATAAGGCATCTGGGCATAGGGGGGAAGTGGGGGGATCAGAAAAAATAAAACAATCTTGCACAGCGTACACACATTAGGCAGACAGGCGGACAGACAGACAGGCAGGGCTAGATCGACTCGTCACGCTGATCAAGAATATATGTATGTATGTATATATATACTTTGTGGGGTCTGCCACGCCTCCTTCTGCCTGTTACATTTTCAGCTCGCGCAAACCTAATATACTCTTCCACATTTCATGTACAGAGTACAACAAATATTTATTCTTTACGAAGGAAATATGTACATACTTGTATGTATATGTATGTATGTACAATATTATAAAGAGAAAAGATTTGATTGTTTGTTTGTTTGAATTGAAAAGGCTCTGAATCTACTGGTCCGATTTAATGCATTCTTTCACTGTTGGGAAGCTACACTATCGACTGTGAACATGGGCTATATTATATTTGCAAAAAAGAATGGAATCCTTACTAAAACACCAATAATGTAACCAAAGGTGTATAAAAATAAGACAGAACGCTACAGTCGAGCAAGCCCGACTGTAAAATAGCCTGTACTCTCCACAAAAAAAGAATAATAAAAAAAAAATTATTAAAAAAATTAAATTCTTTTAAAATTTTTTAATTAACTAACTAAATTAAATATAATATATTTAATATATACATAGAAGGCATGCATATGTACAGTTTCAACAGCATACATCATCGGGTTTATGCATGTTTATATGCGTGTATGTATGCAGCACAAAGTTGAACCAAAGCACCAACAACAACAACAGTTGCGGGCAGAGCTGCAGGCAGCGCATGAGCAGCGATTTTATTTATGGCTATAACTTTCTTCAGAATTGACCTATCATGATGAACACATAATCACTAACTGGATGTGACTACCAAATTTGAGTTTGAAATTCCAAAAATTACGGGAGTTATGTAAAAACACGAATTGCGGGGGAGTGGAGGGTGTATCAGAAAAAAAAACACAAACTCGATCTGCCTAGGGCTTAGGGGAACCTGAATGTTAAGTTAGGTTATCCTAGCTAATTTAGTTGCTGAGATCGTTGCGTTCATACAGACAGACGGACATGGCTATATCGACTTGTCTTGTCATCCTGATCAATAATATATATACTTTGTGGGGTCTTTTACCCTTTGGGTACAGGCTATACAAATCTAAAAACGAACAAAAAGTCATTAAAATAATAATATCCAAAATAAATTTTTCTCCCTCTTAGTAACTCATAGCAAGAAGAAGGGTGTATGTGTGTTAAGTGTGTGTGTGTGTTATAAAAGGTATAATGTTTAAAATTGTTGTAAAAAACCAGTGCGAAGCAGGGGCAGGACGCTAGTGTATGCATACATATTAATAATATTTTTAAATTTATGGGTGCTTTTAATTGAAATAATGAAGACATTTAAGTAATTATTTAATTTTTTTAAAATGTGAGAAAAATATAAAAGTTGATGAGTTAAAAAAATAATTACCACTTATTAAAACGATGTAGAGAATTTTTTCCAAGTTTAAAATCAACTTCACGGAGTTACAGCCCTAAAGCTGAATTCAAATTTATTTCAAGTACATACTAAATATAAAAACTAAATCGTGCAAAAAAGTAATTAGATAGGACATTTGTTTCGGTCAGTTTTCCACATTTACAAATTCCCAGAAATTGTCGTAAATCTGAAGTTGACATTTCTTTATGATTTTCTTCAAACATATTCTAAATAAACAAGAATTAAATATTAGTGTCAAATAGGTCGAAGTTCAAGAATTATGGGAGCTATAAAGAATCTCTAATCACTCTTATACTTTCCGCGATGCTTGGGTTCATACAGACGGACAGATGCCTTCAAACATTTTTTGATCGGATTCAGTTTTTGAACTTGCGTTGCTATCATGTTGGACGGTGTATTAAAGGTCAGTACTCAAGCGCTCAAAAATCTTGAAGCAATTATGGAATTTTACTCAAGAGAAGGATTGAAAGGATGCTATAGCATTGTTGAAGTAGGAGACTCAGAATCGTCCTTTGGAAATCGCCACAGTCGGAATTCGAGCAACGACTAGGATGGTAAGGCTTCTATAAAAGTGCTGAAATAATTTGATCTAATTGGCCCAAGTGTTGACAAAATGTAGCTCCTCTCAACTACTTTGGAACTCATCTATGCAACTGCAACGTAATGAGTCCTTTGAAACAAGCGATTTCTGTTTTGTGGCTTGAAGCCTAAATCAACAAATGCCGTTTTGGCTTTCAACCGACATCTCTCAAATATTTGCCTTTCAACTGTCAACTGTCGACTGACACATACGACGAGTCCGTCCAGTCCCAATCCAATCGTTTGCTTTGCGCTTATCATTCACTCACCAATACCAATGCAGTCGTTGCACGGACTCGTAATATGGCTTGGCAACAAATTAGCTGACTAAGCCGGAGACCACACAGGCGAGGCGGCAAGAGCGGTTGGTCATTAGTTTGTGCAGCTGGGCTCGAATGCAACCTTTCCTCCTTCCTTATCGCCTATTTGTTTATTTACATGCGCTACATAAAATAAGCGGCCGCAAAGTTTAATTAACCGCAAAAAATGGAAACAAAATGTGATGAGCAAGCGCAGCGAAAGAAGGTAGGAGCATTAAAAATTGTGATATGCGATAATGCAAAAGGTAAATATGGAAAGAAATAAATGGAAATAATAATAAAAATGAAAATAGATATGGACAGTGCACACAGACGAGAGGCAACCAGGCTGTCTCATTGGCAGATTGAAAGCGGAGCTTAGGGAGAGCGAGAATGTCTGAAGGGGGAGAGTCACATGTGCATGCATGGGTGTAGCGCAGAGGGGAGAGAAGTGCGGTGCCCCCCCAACCGCATAAAATATAACTTTAGTTTGATTATTATTTTTCCTTTTTCAAGCATATTTTTCACTCTCTTTCGTCAAATACTGTCTAACATTTAAACTTTAAAGTAATTGGCTGCAGGACTCTACACCGTTCTGAAAGAATCGTTAAATAACAATAAAAAATATTGTTTTAAGTACAATCCGAATCTGATTAATTTAATTTTTGACAATGTGTAAAATGTTTTGCGTGTTTGGCCACCTAGACGATTACTATAATTTCTCGAACATTTTTCATTGTTAGCAAGCACTTGCAAGTACCATTAGAAAAGTTAAAAGCGTTCTTTAAAAGCGTTCTCAATATCTATTCAGAATTTATAAAACATTTATGCAATTAACCAATAAAATAATCCATACGTAAGAAATTCGTGAGCTTTTTAATATCTTTTACGGATGGGTGTTATTAATCAATGCATCAGTCATATGTAGAAGGGGAAAAATATTATTAAGCTCTTCCAAGAAGAACACAAAGAAGAATTGTAATCCAAACTTATGGGCACATATATGGAGACGAATACAAATCGCCACTCTTGCATCTCTTTCAATCACAGTTTATGATTTATTTGTGCCTCCCATCGCAAATTGTGTGTTGGAATCAAATGAAAGCAATTGTGTAGTGTTCAAGGCTAAGCTTATCTATCGGTTGCCAAAAAGAACTTTGAATGGTTTTACTCTAAATGAGATGTTGACTACGCCCATGTACTGACAATAATTGAAATAATAAGGTAAGCACACACACACACGCACACACACACATACACACATGCTGATATGCAGTGAGGGAGAGATAAGTATGTTGAAGTGACCAAAGTGGAGCGACTCACCGGACATTGACTCCATTGGTGCTCTTTCGCTCCAGCTGAGTCAGTTCTGTTCAAGTCGCGACGTCGACGACATCGACGTTTATCTGCTGGAAGCAAGAGAGAGGGGGAACCATGGCAACAACAACAGCAACAACAACAATAACAACAACAGCAACAGCGCAGCGTGAGTGCGGCTGTCACTTA